TTCTGCGGCTACTACACGATTCAAGACTAAATGTGTTCACCGAAGTTGTCGTGTTGAGTTGTGGTGATGAGAAGCGCTAGGAAGGTTGTGCGAGAAAGAGTGCCGATTGTGAGGGCTGTTCTCAGGGATACATATGGCGGGATCGCAGTATCTGCGCCTTTATTTAAATGAGGACAAACTGTGGGCAAATCAGTCCCTCCCTGCACCTTTCTAGCAACGAGACAGGGACTTCCCTTTAAATCGAATGCTTTTCTAGAAGACGACTTCTCCGATCATAACCGCAATTCAGTGGCAGTTTGTCGTTTGTTAGAACATCTGGAACCGAATCATTTTTGAGGTTGTAGAAGGAGAAGAATTGTTTCTGTCAACTGCTTAAGCAGGTAGCACACTGAAGCAAACTGAGATCGCAGAACAGCTTCATTGATTAGTTTGTCGCTGCTTGCGTGTGGTGAATGAGGATTGGCCATCGGAGACGTTAGAGCAGCAAATGACACTTGGTACTTAGACGTTACGCATTATGAACGTGTTTCAAACCGCTGTTATCGGTGGAAGATCGATTTATCGATTACGGTAATAAATCATGAGATTTTACACAATTCTGCAAGGTAAGCATAACATGGCACACAATCATGACATAGGTACACAGCTACATAAAGCGTAACAGAGTTTCTATGGAGTCATAGGTCATATTCGATTGTGGGAATCACAAATATTCGTTTGGGTAGTGAATAGCTCGATGTAGCCCCATGCTGGAGTAGAACAGCCCAGACAAGCAGAAAATTGCTCCTATGCATATGACTGAAACATCAAGCCATAATTTATATTTTGGCAGTAGGTGACGTTTCATTTGCAGGTGAAAGATGGACGGCCATATAAAGCTTAACATGGTGCCAGTTATATTGCCTACCAGACCCATCAAAAGGGCAAAATGGGGAATGGAAATGGCCATGAACAGTATGAATAAAACAATGCATATTCTCATCGCTAAAGCCCACTCGCGCAAGCTACCGTCCGGCGAGAAGCACACCGGAAACTTGCTCAGTGGTCTTCCCCTAAAGTACTCGTTTGTCAGCAGGTCTACTATGGCATAATATGGCAGCGGATATGAAAGCAGCGCCTTAATGACTAGAATGATGTTAATGACGATTTTGAAGCTCTGACTCGGTAGGTTATTGGTCACTTCCTCTTGGGTGAAGTCGTCAAACGTCAAATAGCCTACTATAGCAAACAACGCTTTGAACAGTGCCGCAAAAAGATGACTGTACATGAGCATCGGCTTAAACTGTGACCGGTCTTTCATACCGTACTCTAATGTGGGCAGAAAGATGTGCGATGTGTAGCTGAACACGATGATACCGAGTACGGTGGGAAAGATTTTGATGTCGAAAGTAAACTTGATGCTGGACAAAGACCACGACGAAACCTCAGTGAAGCAGTAGGCGATGACGATCAAGTTGATGATCACGTGAGATACGGTATTCCAGAAGCTAAGCTTGGACACCACGACGAGGTTCTCGATGAACGCGCACGGGATCAGCAGAGCGGTGCACAGCAGCATCCAGCCCATTTTGTTGATGGTCGCCGATGAGAAGCTGCTCTCCAGCAGGTCCCCGCAGATCACCACGTACAGAATGCACGTCATCAGCAGTTCGAGCATCTGGGCGCCAAGAACCAGCCGTCCGGCCCACGTCGAGCCCCAGCAGTGTTCCGCGATCGCCCGGTAACTCTGCCGCGCCCGGCTGCCGTCGTCGTCGTACAGGCACTCCACCAGGATTAGGCCGGTGTAGTAGCAGATGTAGGCGACGGCGACCATGGCGATCAGCGCCCACCAACCGCCGTGAAGCACCGTGTACGGAAGACTGACGATGAAC